AGGAAATATATATATATATATATTTTGTTTAATCTCATTCAAAATCAACATTAAAATTATATGTAAGTATATACATTAAATGAATTTATACTTACATATATTGAATCTATAGTGACCTTTTTTATATGTCATGTGACATTTTTTTTTAATATCGAGACAAATAAAATTATGCAACATTAATTAGCATTAATATGATTTTCTTACATAACAAGAACATTATAGTACATGAACTCTGTGCAACAATATTTAATAAAGTTTCCAAAGTGTGTTTTGGTCCATGCCTACCTGGTTCACCTTGAAAACGAGTAAGGCCAGGCAAAAGAAAATCAAGAAGTTTCTAATTAGTCAAAAAAATCAATTTGACCAACTCGGGCTGAACTTGTGGTGGATCAAGTTGTCCACCTAACCCATTTACAACTCTCAACAGTCTAACCCACTAACTTTTAACTTAATCATTTATTGTTATATGCATTATTTTAATAAGTAATCATTTTATTTTGTAGATGTAAATATAATTTATTTTAAATAACATGAAATTGTTATAGATTTATTTAGTCAAGTCTTTACTAAAATTTAATATTTGATGAACAATCATTCTAATGACAAGAATTTTCATTATTTTGTTTTTATTATTTAAAGTTACTCACTTTTTCAATTAGGTTTAATGTTATATACGTGGTACATACTTTGACATTTTTTATTTTAGATTGAAGTATATTTTAAATTGTAGTAATTTTTTCTTAAAAAAAAGGTGAATTAGTAGGTTAATCTATTTAACCCGTCAACTCATGATTGATCGAATCGGACCAAAACTTTTAAGCAAGTGAGTTGAACCAAACCAATTCACTTAAAAAATTGGTTGAGATAGGTCAGACCAAATGAGTCGAGCTAATCCATTTTAATATTTAACATATTCACTAATAATATTTGACTACACAGACTAAAAAAATTAAGGCTAAAAACCTAATTTGGTCCCTTATAATCTTTTTTTGTTTCAATTTAGTCCCTCATTAATTTTTGGTCTCAATTTGGTCCCAAACTAATTAATTGGTTTCAATTTAGTTACAAATTAATTAATTAGTTTCAATGTGAGACTTCCGTCCAAATTATTTAAACGGAGTTAACTTTTGGCCACATGGATGCCATGCTACGTGGCATCCATGTGGATGAGAATTTTTTTTGAAAACACTATATAATATTTCACCCCTCAGCCTCCTATTTATAGGCAAACTGGCGCACCCGAAACGGCCGTACTGATTTCGGAACGGCCCATTCCGGATCCTTCAAACGTGGGCAAATTTCTCAACTGGAACGTCCCGTTCTGAAATCGGAACGGCCGTTCCCAAAAAGC